TCCGCACGGTCCTACATCAAAGCTAGGCGGTCTCGAAGTGCATCCCGCAACAAGTCCCCGTCGACGTTCATGCTCCGTCGCCGCCCGCCCGCGCCATTCCTTACGATGCCCAAGTCCACTCTACGCCGAACACCATTCGCATCCACCTCCCACAAAAGGTTCTCGTTGAAGTCGATCCCCTCGTCCTCGTTGAGGAGGATGTTGTGGAGAGTGCACACGGCCACGAATTGTTGTGTCAAGGTCTCCAGATTCGTCTTGTGGGTGCGCAAGAACAGACGCCACATGCACTTCAGTCGCCCGAATGCCCTCTCCACACATCCCCGCGCCACCTTCTGCCGTGTGTCGAAGCGCTCCTCGTCAGGACCTCGGTCGATTCCTCCGTACGGTTGCACGATCCATGGACAAGCAACTGGATAACCGTTGTCGCCCAGCAGGTAACCTCGCGTGACAACACTGTGCGGCAGATTCTCCAGAGGTGCGTCAAACAGCTCGCCAGTTTATGCACGCCTCCACAAGTGGGAATTGTGCAAGACACGGACATCGTGCACATTTTCCGAGTATCCGACGTGGACGTCGAGGATCCGCAGATCCAAATCCACCACCACCTGCGCCTGCACGGAGAACTTCTATTTTCGGTCGTAGTAGTTGGTCGACGGTGCACCGGCAAGCTTGTCAATGTAGATGTGTGTACAGTCGATTGCGCCGAAGCAGTTTGGGAAACCCTTCTCACGAAAAGCACACAGAATCTGCGCACGTCTACGGCCCACTGGCCACTTTATCGCATCGGGGTACGCCTCCAGCAGCGCCGAAGTGACGTCGCGGACGGCCTGCAGTCCAGTTGCCTTGCCGATGCCGAATGCTGATGTACCGCTCTCGTACGTCTCTCCGGACGCCCACCTGTACAACGCAAAAGCGATCACCAACTCCACTGGCAATGGCATCCTGTAGTGCGTGACCTTCTTCTCCACGTACGCGGCGCACGCGGCTTAGGCGGCTATGGTCTGGGTGAACATGGGCATTGACATGCACAACTTCTGCAGGTAGTACTCGTCCGTCGCGTCCTCACACAGACGGAGGTCCTCCCATGTTCCGCCAGTCCGTCGTCTAATCCACCAACGTGGGGTCTGCCGCGGGAAAATGCCAGACGACAGCACGACACACAACTGGACGACTGCCTCACACGTGGCCACGCAATCCGGCGCTTCGGCAACGCTCTGCAACAACGCTCTTCGTTTGCGGAGCTGCATCACCATGTAGTGTGAGGACGACGACATGTTGCTCATCGTGTTGACGATGACGACAGTCACCGCCATCGCCACCTCGTCGATACCGTGCCCGCAGCCGCGAACGTCCATCTCTGACAATCGTTCCGTGTCTACAGCGTGATTCCTGCCACAGCCGCCTAAGACACGTGCGTTGATCAACCCTGCCGCAGGAGACCACGCACGCTGGAGCCGAAGATGCGCCCGCTGCTGTACGTTGCCACAGGAGATGACGCACGTCGGAGCCCAAGACGCGCCTGCTGCTCTACGCTCCCACAGGACAGTACGCACGCCGGAGTTGAAGATGCGCCTTGCAGGAAGATGTGCCCGCTGCTCACGACTTGCGTAGACTCGAAAGATGGACACCCACGCCGAACGGTTCGCCAGCGCTGTCTTTTCTACGTCACACGCGTCGCTTGGCCGTCCTCCCCCCCCCCCACCATGCGTCCTCGAAGTTCTGGGTGACCGCGCTTTTCACCAACCTGTCCTCACCCGCCCAAGGGCCACCGCAGTGTGTACCACGGACACCAGCCAGGAATGGACGAAAATCGGCAGCGCGGCTGCGTATACGAATTTACGGCCACGGGAGACCTTTTAGGACGAACCCTAAAAGATAATTTTTAGGATTGCGTGTAACGACGCCGCATGAAATCCTAAAAAACATTTAGGACTCGTCCTAAAAATTTTAGGATTCTTTTAGGAGTGTCTAACGAGACCCTTATACCATGACTATTATAATTTCAAATGGCGGTTTGCCGTTTTCTGGCCATCTGCATAGGCTAGACTTTAGGCTTGCTACAGATTTTTCGAACATGGATTTTGAATTAGTTACAGTTTAAGGGTGTTGTAGATTTAGACATTTAAGATTACAATTCCATAGGGATAGCTGGTTTCTCAGCTCTAGTGCTTCACGCTCGAAAATGCATTTGAAATCGTTTTAGGTTGCCGGATAGGTATTAAGACCTTTTTACTGCGCTTCAAGGGAATTTTTTCTTGAGAAGCTTCTTTGAGATAACAAAGTGAGAAAATGGGACGCTGGACCCAGTTTTTTTTTTCTTTTTTTTTTCTTTTTTTTTAGCCCTTGCGATATCCCTCTATCCTGGCGGTGGTAAGAGAACCGTCAGAATTGAGGGCTTATCTGTCGGGCTGCTCCATCTATAGGTGGGGAGCGGCACCTGCTGGAAACCAGGTCCAGCGTCCCATTGGTACAACATACAATACAGATATTGGTGATTGTTGTTTCCTAGGGCTATGGTGATACTTGTCTCTTCCCGGGTCTCCGTTGTCCCTTGGAGCTGCAATTTTCCCCCTTCCCTTCATGGAGCACCTCCTTTACTATTAACATAGCCCTAGTTCTGCAGCCCCCCTGAATAAAAGGGTCCTATTCTGCAACACCTCTGTGCAATGTCTCTATTGAAACCCTTGAAGCCCCTAAACCCCTAAACCCTCACTGTGACCTTAGAGAACCCAAAAAAACACAGTATCTGCAGTACTGTTGCAATGAGATGGAAAGCACAGCAACAGCACACGGGACAATAGAACGTTAGTATCTTGGGGCATCCCTGTCAAAATGAGGCAGCCCTATTCTGCAGCCCCTCTATTCATTGTGACTATCTGTCGTCCCTTTAGAACCCTTTAGAACCCTTGAAGACCCTATAACTCCAACCTTTTCTTACCGCAATCAGGATGAGGACTGCCAGATTCAGACCATCCCAGATTCCTGCAGGTGCCCACTTTGTTGTTGCCGCCATCCTGTCGCTTACACTCCGGGACTTTCCAAAACACACCCCAAGACCTTTTGAGACCGTTCGACATGCTGGGTCGTTAGTCCACTGCAACCGTCGTTTCACCGCCCTCCAGTGGATTCCTGATTTCCACCATGATCTCGTCTTGGGACCTCTTGGCCCCCACTGTCCCTGCCCCAAAAGTCCCATACCCGTCCGGAGCTCTCCCTCAAATCCCTCTTCCTTCCGCCTACGTTGCAAGTGCCAAACAGCCATATTGCGGTCCGAGGACTTTGGTACCTTGCAGTACCGATTCTGTCAGGTAGGGAGGGGATTATGGGGGAGGGGGGTTAGTTGCGGAGGAGAACAAAGGAAGGGGGGGYGGCTGCAAAGGGGACGAAGAAGTGAGATAGTAGTTTGTAGGTCCAGGTATTTTCGTCCTTCCTCCAGTGTTTCCAGTGTATCTGGGAATCGTGGATGTCTGCAATCGCTGCCGTTGGTCCCAGCCACTCATCCGAGAACTGGTTCCTCATTTCCTCTGTTTTCTGTTTCTTGGCATGAGAGGTGAGGCTTGAGTTATCATTAATTAACCTCATTTTGTGTCGTAGGTGGTCCCATGCCGCTTTCACCCTGGCTGTCAAGTAGTTTGTGATGTGTTCTTTGGCTTGCGGGARCCCGAACGTGTGTTGRTTTCGTTCGAAGGAGCAGCGGGCCCGCCAGGCTATCATCAGCAGCTCAAGTCTTATGATTTGAAAGAGGTTCCTTTCGTAGGAGGACCAGTTCGGYGGGATGTCTGCCTGGTTCCCTAAGAGGAGTAATCTGGGTTGCCAAGGGAACTGGGAGCCAGTGAGGATCGTCCATGCAGCATCCCACCATCTCCATATCTGGGAGACCATGAGACAGCCTAATAGGCAGTGGTCC